CCTGTTGCATAGAAAAAAAATCAAGTTCTCACTAGTACAGTAACTGCAACAACTTGCAAGACCATTAAAAATAGCCTGAACTGATAGTATAATTAAGCCTATTTATTCTTAGATATTTTGCCCAGTGAAGCAATAAAATGAGATATTAAAGTAACATAGAAAATGGTAAAAGACATTAATGTAGGGCAGGATTATGCTCAGGGAAGCTCAAGAAAATAAGGTGGGTGTTTTGTAGTTTCTTTTCCTGCCGTTCTTACTTTCAATTCTTTCCCCTTCTCCTGGCTTTCTTGCCTAATCTTCTCCACCCTCTCATCTTCATTTTCAGACTTCCCTTCTCTAGTACCTGAAACCAACCCCTTTTGATTCTGTCATCAAGGCTACCCTTCCTGTCTGCTTCCTGATTCTCATACCTTGCATCCATTCTATCCACTTGGCTTCCAGGTCTGAGTATACTCTTCCTTTTGGATGGATTGATGAATCTTCAATTTGAAGGACCCACACAGATCAGGCTATCCCACCTGTTTTCTCATCATCTTTAACAGATTCAGCCAGGTAACTGAACCACCATACATTGAGCTAGTCCATGTTTACAACCATGGTCTTTCCCCTTCTTCCTGTCACCTCTGAACCCAATGTGTTTTGACTGATGTTAATGCTTAGAAGTATCAGCAACTTTTCAGTCCTTTTTCCTGAATGAAGATGTTGAAAAAGTGGCTCAGAGAAGTTGGAAGAACAGGTTGCCCAGGGAAGCTGTGGATGCCCCATCACTGGAAGTGTTCAAGGTCAGGTTGGACAGGGTTTTAAGCAATCTGATCTAGAGAAAGATGTCTGTGACCATGGCAGAGAGATTGGACTAGGTGATCTTTAAAAGGTCCCTGCCAACCCTAATTGCTCTGTGAGTCTATGACTCTATGCACCTGACGGACTGAAGGTAGATGAGAGAGCAAGTATTTGGTGGGGAAAAAAAGGTAGTGAAAAGTTCCCATCTGCATTTGTAACTAAGAGTCTCTGAGAACATTTTTGCCCTAGAAGGGAGCTCTATGCCACCCACAGGGCAGTTAGAACACCCTGCTAGATCCCTGACTGGCAGCTCCAATTCTGGGTTGTTTGAAATTAATTTATCCTGTCGCTAGTCCTCACATCCACAATGGAAAACTTTATGGCTCTCAGGTTATCCTGCCTCCAGTTTTCTGAACCTCTCTATTGAAGCAACAAGCTTGCACAGTGCTACAGTGTTCTGATGTTTTCAAAGCAAATTTTTGCTTTTGGTGGTTACCAAAACTAACCTTTGGCACACAGTCTTTCATATAAATGCAAATTTCTTTCATGTTGCTGTAATCCACAAATCACACTGGTCACTGGTATTACCATCAGTGACCATTTGAGGTAGAAAAGCTTGAGTTAGGCAAGTTTATTTTTAAAATTAAGTACAGTCTCTTTGTAAGTTATAACCTTTCCATGTGAGTTTTCAAGATGGCCAGTGACATTGACATTGCTGCCTCATGTTTTTCTAATGCTCTTTTTTTCATTTAATTACATAAAGTTGGCAATTTTTGTGCCATCTATGATAAATATATATTTTTGGAAAGTTGAAGCTGGAATATCAATCTATGAAACAAAACGTCACCCTACCAAACTGTTGCAGGGGAATTTACTATTAACACAACATAGAAGATCAAAGTCCCAATTCAATTTCACTTCAGGACAGATATTAAGGAAATAATTTTCTGAAACCTGCCTAGATTCCTAACCATCTTGAACATGTAAGAAATGCTTGCAACAACATCTGTCAAACACATATCTATGCATTTAATAATTCCACATTTCTTTGAATCACACATCTATTTAAATCTAAGAGGTATCTAAAGGATAATTGCCATTAAACATTTTTATGTGTGACAGCTGGAAGGCATGTCCAACGCTGTATTCTTTGTAATGTGTTGATCAGTGTCACTTTTGCAAAGCTAATGCACTATACAGAGAAGAGAAAGTCTGTCACAGAGAAAAATGCCAGAGGTCCTCTCACTAATTTGTGGACTCAAGAGAGCAGAGCTGTCATCTGTGCCTTAAAGATAAGAAGGGAATCAGTTGATAAGGATTACTCGTAGCGTCTCCCTCCACCCCCCACCCCTCAACAAGTTTACAGGGAAAGTTTACAGGGAAAAATTTGTCTTCACTTTTGTTAGTTGATAAAGGCGTCTTCAGAGAAACTTATGTGCTAGCAGGAAAAAACAACTGCACGTATACAGCACCGTATTCTTGTATACGTGAATACTTCATGTATTCAGCTCACAAGATCCCTAAAGCTCTACAGGCTGTATATTCAATGAAGATGTCAGACTGCACACTGCCATCATGCAATACCCTCCAAGGTAGAACTTTTTCAAGGCTTAAATGCATATACAGGCATTACACTTTCCTGTGGCACCTAACCTGAAGAAGACTTCCATATACAATTGGTAGTCTGGAAAATGTAACATACGCTTCCCTGGCTTATTGTTGCCAGATGCAAATGTGCTCTGTCCTTACTCTCATAGATACAAGCAACTCTGCTTGAAAAGGTACATAAGTACAGTGTCTGAACTACGCAGCTTCAGCTAATAGCTACAGTCAAACAGATTTTTCTGAAGTGTGGCTCATATAATTCTTGATAAAGTATGTCTTACACCCGGATATCTCAGAGCACAAGCACAGAGAGGGAGTCTAGGTGAAATTAATCCACATTCTCTCCAAAGAGAGGCATGAATTTTGGAATAAATAAAAGTTGTAACAATTTGATTCTCTCCTTAACAGTTCAGCTTTCCTACTGAATTATTTAACAAACTCTGCTGCAGCAGAATGCTATGCAGGAGCATACTCTTCCAACGGAAACCAGCGGTAGTGTCTGTTAGATCCAGTATATAATGTTATTACGGTCTGTGATGACTTAGGAGAGGGAACATCACCTCCATGCCAGATCTGGCAAGACAGCTTTCTCAGCATCACAGCACCACTGAAACATTTAATTCAAAGATGCATGCTCTTCACTGAGAAAGTGATGTGCATTTCATTTCCTGAAACATCCTATGGACACTTATAATGAGGTTGTGATCCAATAATTTTTCAAGATGTGTCCTGATTAGTTTACAAGTGTCTATATATACACACATTCAGAGTATTTCTAGATAGTGTGTGGGGACAAGTGATATAGTGTAGAAATATCAATGTAACATTTTGTCAATTTATGCAGTAAAATTGCATTTAATCAAGAGGAGGTAGACAACCTGTTTAAAAGATACTGGATCATGAAACCATACTAAAGCCAATCATGTTTCATCAGCATATTGACCTTTTGGTCTTCTCAAGTTTCATTTTAAAACTGAATACTTCAGCCAAGGTTTTATTACTTGCTTTCATTTAAATTATATTATGTTCAAAATGATCATAGCCATTTTATAATCAAAAAGACAATAAATTCCTTGCCCAGAGAAATTTTAAAACCTGGATAGTGTTAATTAGAGAAAATAGAAGTAAAATTAACTTCATTACTTCAAGCCTGGGAGCTGTTAGATGCTGTAATTATGAAGATGGAAGAGTTCAGACACAGAGATAAAACACGTAAATAAACTCCATATTGTCATGAACAAATTTGTCCAGTCAGTTTACAAAGATATCTCCACTGTAAGATCACTTATAATTAAACCTAGTCAGGTTGCTAAACATATTTTCATACCATTTCTTTGTCTATACTATCAGGGCAATTACTGAAAAGTGTCCGTGAGAGAGTATTAGAACTGTAGCTATTGGGAGAAAAGATGTAAAGTAGGGAAGAGTGGAAAAGGCTCAAAGGCATATGTGGCAGAAACACTTGGAAGTCTTAAAGCTATGTTGAAACAAAGGATTATAAGGGCTGGATTTTGTTACATATTACCATTTCTCAGTTTGCACAAAGATTTGGGGTTTGACTAGCTGTAAATTGAGGGCACAATGAACAAAGCACCTCTGTATCTGTTGGACAGTATGGATTGCAGTAATGCTCCTCTCAGCGATGCAAGATTTGTGACTACCAAAAGAGTGTTTTGTTACTTGCACTAAGCTGCATCTCAATCATTTATGCAAGAAGTATTTGCAGATTGGATTCTGATGTTAAGCTGAAGGGAAGTGACCTATTGCAAGGAAGAGAGGTCAATAAGGACATTTTTTGTCATACACAAGGACTTTTTTTTACAGTATTTAGAGCTGTTTGGTAAATGTAGAAATATATAGCTACAAGTGACCTGAGAGGTAGAAAGAACTCGGAGTAACTCATTTCAGCCATATAAGAAGTCTGTCATCACAGTATAATCAAAAATGTTAAGAAATTTTGCAAGCACTACAGGAATAGGGAAAAAAATCAGATTGATGAAGGTGGGAAGAAGACTTGGACTTAAGGGGCGAGACCAAAGATTTGGGAAGCTCTGAACAGATATCTAATTATCTTCAGACTAGTGAACCAAGACATTGTATTCCCCTGAGAGACTAGCAAGGTTGGGAGGTAAACAGTTCTGTCCTGGTATTCTGCTTGTTTCAGTCATTTTGGAAGCTGACACCAAACTGGTCCCTACCATCTCTCTCAGCTCCCAGCTGCCACTCGAGAAGGTCTCCACTCCCAACTCCCAACTCAGTTTTTATTGTCTCAGGGAAGTTGTCCTCATTCCCAGTCCTCAAAGCAGAGAAACGTCTCTCCCAAATCTTTCCAACATGCATCCTTAAGGCAGCAAAGACACACAGGCTGCCCATCACCTGAGAAGCATCAAACAACTGCAAACAGAATGAGTAAGAAATTATTTCTTTTATGCCTCTTAATGCAAAATAAAGAAAATTAGAAGTGGATTTGCGTTCTCCCCTTGAATGGACTTTTGTATGCAGATGAAAGAGAGCAAAGGGAAAGTCAGCACACTGGCCTTTCTTTTTCAGGAGGAGTGCTAAGATCCATAACCCACACTATCTTGCAACAGGCAGAGGCCTCCAGGCCCCAGAGAAGCAGGTTGAAACAAGCTAGTAGCAGTGAGAATATCAGACCAAAACAGGCTTTTTGGGTGGGCAGGATAGTAGGGCTGTTGAAGAGAAAAGCAGCAGCAAAGTTGAGAAGAGGCTGGCGGAGATAGAGAATCACATACTTCTGTTCAAAAAGATTTCAGTGCAGCTCCAAGAGACAGAAAGGCCCATGGGTCACAGGGAGAGGCAGAAGGGAGCAAAAAAATACATTTTTATGAGAAGTAGAGGCATTAGGAAGAGAAGGTGGGTGGAGAGTTGCAGAAATGTATCCATTTCCCTCCCTCCCATTTTCTTTAAGGGCGTTTTTCTCAGAGCTTTTCCTTTCTTTTCTCCTCCCCACAGCAATCAGCCAAGCTGGGAAGAAGAGATTGTGTCCAAACTTAGTAGTGTGTCTTGGCACAGAAGACTGATAGTAAACAAGTAAACAGAGTTGGCAACAGTGGTAACTGCAGGAGCAAAACCTGCTCAGTGACAAGGATGAGGACTCTTCCAGAGGTAAGGAAGTGGGTCTGCCTTGCAGTTTGCTGAGATACCTTCATTGCACCCCTCTCTTCTTCTCCTGTCACAGCTATGCTGCTTATTTCCCTAGGGAACTGGAGCAGTTGAGTTTTTGACAGTTTGTATCCAGAAGGGGCTTGTCTGGGTCTCAGAATTAATGATGTGGGATGTGGTGTAAGGATTTAGGGGTTCTTACCCTTCTTGTTAGTCATCCTAATGGCCATTCTGAAGCTGCATTCAGATCTGTTTGAAGCACTCACCATAATAATCATCATCAACATCATCATCATCATCATAGCCTCTTATTGTATCCCTATTTTTTCAAAAAATTATTTTATGAAAGTACTTATGCAGAAACATCCAAATTTCCCCCCCACAAATAATTGTGAGTAAACACAGCATAGTTTTCCGAATGTGAGAATGACACGGTAAGCCTAATTGCTCCCCATGTAGTGTGGTGTCCTTTTCCTGATTTGATGTCTTATATAAATAACTAGTAAAGTGTTAATTGCATATTTACATTACACTGAAATCTTATACACTGGAAATTTACAAATCACACTGAACCAAACTGTTAGTTCATGGTTGCTAAAATGTACAAAACATTCAAAGACTGTAGAGCTAATGAAAGTTTTCTATATAATTAAATAATATAAAAAAGGAAACGAGTATGTTTTGTTATGCAAATGGTCGCTATTTATCTTGTCTGAATTTTTCTGGCTGAAAAGTTTGCAGAAATGTTTGGCTGGTATGTCTGTTCTCATATTTCTGTGTGATAAAGATCAGACAACAATCATAATTTTAAATAGTTATTGACCATGGTTATGCTTCAAACTTTTAGTAGTCCAGAATATAACTCAGCAAACTTTCTGTTTAATTTCTCATGTTAGCAAGTATTATATTTTGAACACAGGCTAAAATATTATTTCTCAAATGGCACTTAATGTGCTCAATTCAAGTGCTTAAGTGATTTGCTGACAAAAGATAAAATTAAGAAAATGTTAGGGTTTTTGTGACTATTGGGGCATTTGTCTGAAAATGTCATCCACATGACATGTGATAAACACAATTTGGGTAACAGCCAAAGTCAGTAATTCATGAATAATCTACTGGCTCAAAAATAATACCCCTAAATTGTCTGGTAAATAGTTATAAAAAATAACTACAATACTTCCTGCCTTTGATATTTTCACTTTAATTTACTTTATTTTCATAAAAGTTAGATGCTTCTTTTTCTGTAATGGCAGATTTCTGGGAAAATGCAATGTGAGGAAGAATTAGGCAGAGGAACTTCAACCTCCCTGCAGAATTCAGGAATGGCTCACAAACAGAAAGAAGGAGATGTTGAAGAAAATAAAATTGTTTGGCTGATTTAGTTGCATCAAACAGTTCTTGCTTTAGTGATAACACTACCTGTCAACATTCTGCTAGCCTAAGTCATGCTTGCATTTGGATTGGGTGATTCATGTAGTACATATTTTCAAAATTATTCATTTTATAATTGAGGACAATTAGAAGTCAACTTTTAGTGATTTTATGGGCATTTGATTTCAGCTACTGTGAAGTCATTTAAATTTGAGCACTTGAACATTCTTAGAAGAAAAGCATGAAAGAACAGAAACTGTACTGGAAATTGCATTCATCTTCAACTGCATGAAACTACTAATCATTCTTCACACTTACTCATAAGTGAGGCCAATATTGAAAAGCTCGATCAGAGATTAAAGGCTCTTCATCCTTTTTGACAGGCTTGTTCAAACTATTCACTTGTCTCTTTATATGCTGGATGACGCAACCAAACCTCAAAACATACCACAATAAAGTGCTTCTGCTCCCTGCAAGCTATCTAATGTTCCTACATCCTGCACCCTGGAAGTTTGTATATCTCACCTCCAGTTCCGTCTAGTTAAATCCATACTTTTTGACCAAGGATCACTGAACTAGGACGGTCTCTGTATTTCAGTGTCTCTGTTCTGTGAATCACTTAGTCCATTTGTAGCATAAAAGTGACGTTCATACTAGATAAAGAATCTGATAGAGATATTGCCCAGGTCAGTATCTTTATAAGAGTACTGAAAGAGCAGGTTTTGTCTGTCTAGATTTCTTTAAGCTGTTGTCATGAAAAAGATATAAGGGACAACTAAGTATGACTGCCCTCCTCTTTTTTCTCTGTTTATGTAGGTCAACAAGTTCTCTCAAATCCAGCCCCCATAACAGAGGCAAGATTAGAAAGACATTATTTATGGAAGGTGAAGTGTTTAAAGAACACTTTTTATCCTTATTACTCACATACCCCAGACCTTAATACAGTTTCTAAGTAAAGATACACAACCAATTTCCACTCCCCTGTCTCTTCTTTTGGGATATGCTACTCTTTTGGGGTATGCTCTTCTCAGCCAGCTATTTCCCTAGTTGTTTCACACTGGAGTCTTGAGGGGGACAGTCTAGTTCTCTTACAGATTTTTAAAAATCTGTTGTTTGATGCATTTTCCATTTCAAAAGGAACATAATGTATAGGCCCAATATAGACCTACTGTGAACCAGTTGGCAGAAATTGCAGTGACAGTCTTGAAATACCAATTTCTTATTAGTATCTCCACAGCCATACCATTTAGTACTTGAAAGAGAGAAACAGATGTCCTTGGATAACATAAGATGATAGAATTGCAAATTTATAAATATTTCATAGTAGGAACAGGCCAGATTTTCAATGTGAAAAACATGAAGTCTATTGCAACAGAAAGTCAGGAGTATTGTGAATGTATATCATTCACTCTCTCCTAAAGGTTGAGAGATGAAGGCATGCACGTTAAAGAATAATTTTTCTTCCTCCTTTTCAGCCAAGCAAATTTTCTTTCACTCACCTTCCTGCCATACTGTTAGGTCATAACACTTACTCTCTACTTGAGAAGTAAAAGCTGAAGTGTTTTACTACAGGGGTGTATGAAAGGAATTTGGATTTCCTCCTTTGTATTTCCTACACTGTACTTTGCCAGTATGGTCATGTTCTGTACCTTGCAGCTTTTAACGCCAGGATTCACTTGTATGTACTTGCTCTCCACTTAGTTATTCTGTTTTCTGCCTAAAGAAGTCAGGAGAATAGGATTTTAAAAGGAGAAAAGCAGTTAGGTATTTAACTCTTGTTAGCAGTTTCCATGAGTCAAGTGAGCTGACACATGCTTTTGGGAGGCTTCTGTTAGTGATTGAATAAAATGCACATTTGAAAGCTATAAAATGTTGACGTCTGGTTTTGTATTTCTTTCTGTGTTTTCTGTTCTGTAAATGTTTTTTTACAGGAATTGTATATAGTATATTAGGCAAGATAATTAACAGCAGACTCATTTCCTTAGCCTTTCCTCAGGTGAAGGGGTATATGCTGTAAGGCACTTAATTCTTGTAGGATTTTGCTTAATTTCTTCTTGTGATTTTTGTAAAGATCTATGTTTTCTAGTTTTGTGGCAAAAAAGATAGATACTGAGTATGGTGACAAATGCAGTTTAGCTGCTGCATGTAAGGGAGCAGCAACAGCAGACAAAGGAAGACAATCTAGAACCTGAGTCACGACAAGGAAGGAAAAAAGTATTGACTTAACCAGCAAGGGGTGCACCCCCAGAGTACGGGAATGAGGCAGGTAAGGCAGCTCTGGTGACAGTAGCCAGGGTCAACCAAGAGTGTAGATTGCCAGGAAAGCCCATTGAGGAGGCAGGCCCAAGGTCAAACCTCCAGCATCAAGTCTGTCGGTTAAGGTAAGGATCCAGATCAATGCAGTACGTGGCCAGCCATAGGCATGTGTCCTGGTTTCAGCTGGGCTAGAGTTAATTTTCTTCATAGTAGCTAGCATAGAGCTGTGTTTTGGATTTAGTACTAGAAGAATGTTGATAACACACTGATGTTTTTAGTTGTTGCTAAGTAGTGCTTTAGACTACTCAAGGACTTTTTGAGCTTCTCTGGCTCAGCCAGGTGCATAACAAGCTGGGAGGGAGCACAGCAAGGAGGGCTAACCCAAACTGACCAAAGAGCCATATAACGTCATGCTTGGGGGGAGTTAATTGGTTGGAGAGGGGGAAGAGTGATCGCTGCTTGGGATGGGATGGGCATCGGTTGGTGGGTGGTGAACAATTGCATTGTGCATCATTAATTTAGTATATTCTGTATATTTTCTTACCATTCTCATTATTACTATTATTTTTCTTTTCTCTTATTAAACTGTCTCTATCTCATCCCACAGCTCTTACTTTTTTTTTTTTCTTCCTGATTCTCTTCCCCATCCCACTGAGGGAGGGGGGAGTGAGCAAGCGGCTGCGTGGTGCTTAGTTGCCAGCCAGGTTAAACCATGACAGCATGGCTGCTGCAGCACAGCTTAGATGGAGATCATACATGAAAGCTGCAAAAAGCAGTTACTGAGTGAAGAAGTGGGCACCTCCACCAAGGCTGCTTCTAGCTTTTTTTTAAAGAGTTCCAAGGCCTGTCAAGGTTTCTCAAACAGCTTTCTTTTACCAGAGAACCAGGCTTGAGCACAGGGAGCCAAACCTGAGGCTGTGGGACAGTACAGGCCAGGCCCTGACACTGGTGTGTAAGACTCTCAAAGTACCACTTCCATCAGCTTTCACACCTACAAGATTTACTCCTTGCTTGCTATCTCTCTTCCTCACAGGTTTTCCATTATCTCTGTGGGTTTTTTTTTCCTTCTGCTTCCTTTTTCTCACTGTATATTCATATTCAATTATTCCACTTTTCATTTTTTTCAGTTCTTTCCCTTTCCTTATGTTACTAGCACCCATTCCCATGCCTGTCCTCTTGTAATCTGCTCTTCTCCAGTAGAAGCAGTGAACACACACAGTAAATGTCATTTTATCTAACTGTTCAGGTAGGCATTAGAGGTGTATCCTAGCATAGTATTCTAGCTTCCTTTGCAGAGAAAAAGGCAGGGAACTCTGGAGGATGCCTCAACTCACCCTAAGACAGATGTCTAAAATAGAAGCTATACTCATAAGGTACCTAGCCTTCTCCACTGACTAAAAAGACACACCTAGATCATGAACACAACTAATTTTAAGTGAGATAAAACCTGTGTGTATATAAGATCTTCTCTGTGACTTACAGCTCACTGCAGTTTTTAGAATAGGGCAAATCTTTTCTCTCACTTGAAATGAACTAAGGGGCTTAGGATGCAGGATTTATTTCTTGAGGCGAGATCTGAAATTAGTGCTCAGGTTGCCAGACTGTAACATAATGAAGAACCTCCAGTCCTAGCCATCCTGTTATTAGCTTTATGGGCTCAAAAAGGTTTTGACATCTTCAGGAGGTATACGTAAGTTGATTCCATAAATCAGAAGGAATTATGGAAGGACAGGCCTCTTCATGGCAAGCTGTCTTTTTGATGCGTAATTCATAATACTGTGCAACAACTGTAGCTGGAAAAGACAGGGAAATTAAAGAGGTGAGAAAGTGCCAGGGAGTACAGTCACCTAGATGACTTGGACGACTGTTGGTATTCTGGCACTAGTCCTGTGAGTGATTTTCTAGTAACATTAGGTGGAACATGGAGTATATGACCAGTGCTAACTTTAATATGAAATTTTCTTTCTTCATTTTTTCTGTTTGTCTCATTTTTCTCTCTTCAGACCTGTGACCAGGAGCTGAGAACAGGTGCAAAGAAAGAACGATGCCTTCAGGGGAAAAGCCTACTACTGTGTACACTTCTTCTCAGTACTGTCCTTGGCTTTACACTGCTTATCACCTACATCATGATGACTTGTGGTCTAGGTATAATATGGGATATCCTTTTCCCTGTTTCCTCACCTGCCCCATTTGTAAGACCCCTTTCTCTCCTGTCTGCCTCCATCATGTATTAGACTTAACATCCGTGTTAAGAATTAGACTGTCAGAATTTCAAAGAATCATCACACCAGTTCTAAAAAAGGTACACTGTTCTGCCTCTTCCTTGGGTAATAGTGGGGAGTCATCCCCACACCTGCCCTCCTCCTCTGCCTCCCATTTAATATGCCTTGGCCCAGTTTTGAGGGAGAGCATCATTATATTGTCTTGCATCTCATCATTGTGTCATGCTCTGTCTGTAGTCACCTCCAGGAAACTGGACTGAATCTGAGATTTTGAGCTCTTCCTCTACCTTTTCATTTCTGACTTAATAAGTCTAGTCCTAGTTTTCTAGCACAGACCAGTACAGTCATAGTGTAGAGAGAAAAGTTGTAGTCTCCTGCTAATGGGGGAGCTAGGAGCATAGGCCAGAAATATTAATTTGCCTTTCAAATTTGCTAAACAGCTATCTCCAGAATAGTCCATGTAGATGTTTATGCATATAGAATGCTCAGTACTGAAGGTGCATTTATATTGGTGGATACAGACATTCCCTGCTCCAAAATAAACATTATTGACTCTTCACCTAGCATTTTTCTTTACCCCCCTGTTATATGTTTGAGACCGTTCACTACAGAGATGAAGGAAAAACTGTTAGTTTAGATCTTGTCTGTTTCTACTCTGCCTACCTCCTCCCATGTCAACTGTTGAAACCATAGTATGGAAAGTCTTACTTTGATTTACAAGTGGCTTATTTCAGTAAATAATTGATCTGATCTGTTGTTGATACAAGGCACTGAACCAAAATGAGAACCCATACTCAGTGATTCACAGCAGTTTAGATAAAGGGAATTTCAGATCAAAGCAAGATGTATTAGAAAGTCTTTGTCCTGTTTTAACAAATGTCATTGCTGAAAAAATGTTTCCCATGCTTGAACATCTCCCTCCATGTTTTAAACTTATTTCCTTACTTTCTCTCTGCTATGTCCTTCTTTTGCTTCATGTGTAGACACCATCAGTTGCTTCTTCTTTATCATTTGGCCAAATTTGGCTCATTCAGAGAAATTACACTGAGAAAGCAGAATAATCCAACCTGTGACTGCCTAGATAGTATGAACAGAGGACACCACCTCTGGACTGAGTACTTGTCCTTTATTTAAAGAATCTCCCTTATAAAGGGCAAAGGCAATATTCCTGTGAAGAGAAAGACAGAACACACTTTATTCCATATTCAGCAAAAACTTACACAGAATTCAACACTCTGTATGCAAAGGAGTTTGTACCACAAATAAATCTTTTGGCGGAAATGTCTCACAGATAACTCCTGATTTTTTTTTTGTTTGGAGTTGTTCTCACTCTCCACTGTCACTGCTCAGTTCTCTCCTATTTACTTCCTGCCCAGGACCCTGTGATGTCAAGCTGGGCCTTACACTGTTGGCCAGACTCCTGAATTCTAGGAATGACACTGTAGACCCCTGTGAAGATTTCTACAAATATGCCTGTGGAAGCTGGGAAGGCAAACAGTTAAGCAGAACCACAGAAGAATCACTAAATGTGTTTGATGTGTTGTTGGAAGAAAACCAGTTGATCCTGAAAAGGATTTTAGGTAGGGACAGATGATTGGTGTGTTGCCTTCAGCATCTTACTCAGTCTTACTCAGAGCTGACAATAGTAATAACTGAGAGCACAACCATTCCTAACAGGGACTGAGTCCAGTCTCTTCGTTCTTCTATCATTACAGGTACAGATTTATTCTTGAGTATGTCATATTACAGTAGCTGCATTTTAAAAATTTTAGTTTCCCTTGCCAAGTGTAACAGATGAAAGTCACATTTTAAAATTCTGACAGCAACCCAAGCCATTTTTCTGTTGCCTTGTAAAAGTAGACCCTTTTCCCTGTGCTTGTCTGAATGTGCACACTGGTCATGTGTCCTGACTCCACGTGGGGCTGAAGCCTTCCTGTTGTGCTCCTGTTTCCATGCAAAGAAACTAGAAGGTCTCTTGCTCTGAGTGACTGTGAGAAGTGTGGATATATTTACTAAATTGTTCCAAATCAAAGTGCAGTGTAATATTTTGTTACAACCTTTCTCTGCTCAAGTACTGCCCCAACTTTTTTTTTTTTTTAACCACTTTTGTAGTTTTTAATCTATTTCTTTTGTCCTCAGAGGGCCCACAGTTTGGGATAAGAGGCTCAGCTAAGGAGAAAGCAATCCAGTTCTATCGCTCCTGCATGGATACCCAACGGATAGAATCCCAAGGAACTCAACCATTGAAGGACCTCCTAAATCTGGTGAATGTTTCTGCTGTTTCCTCTCCCTCCAGAAGATAATTCCTGCAAGGAAAAGGGAAGTGTGACATCAGGGTCATATGGCCCTACATGATGGAATTTTGCTAGCATTTTACCCTGAAATAAGCTCATGGTTCACAGCATACCTTCTACGTGATAAATCTTCTAGCTTTAAATGCTGTTTCAGGATTTGATTTTCTGACATCAGGTACCTGAATCTTTCCTCATGACCTTACATACTATTTTAGGACTGCACAACAACCAAGATTGCAAAGAGAGATCATTCAGTTCAATAGGATCCAACTTACAGATCAGGGAACGTCTTGCAAAATGGGTGATATTTTTGTGTCTAAGATCTGATGGCCATCCACTACTCCAGGCTTCAGGGGAGCTTGTTTAAAGAGGAAAATGATTTTCTTTCCATTCTGGGAGACTCCTCTCAGTGCCAGGGAGGGTTTTACATCTTCCTGCCAGCAAAGGGCATTTATGCCCTGTCTCTAAGTAATGCTGAAGGAATGCTGACTGCAGGCCCACCTGTGAATCTGCTTGTCAGGGAGGTGAGGGCTCTAATCCCTGATCCCTGGTTGTCCTTCTGGATGGCTTCAGAAAGATCAGGCCTCTTTCCTCTCTCCTTTTTCTCCTGCTTTTTTCCTGTACACCTTTTTCTGTTGATAATTATCATTCCTATGTCATCTTGCAGTTTGTTGCTTTGCTTAAGTGAAAGTGACAGGTTATTTTAAAGTCAACAGAGTAGTAGAAATCTTCATGAGTTTCCCCTGTTGCTATTTGCTGTGTTTCTTCTCAGTTGTCAAAATGACTGAGCTCATAGGAGTGAAAAAAAGATTTTGTAATATAGATCAAACAAGTGTTTTTCTCACCTGCTATCACTCTCCTTCTCTAGGTTGGTGGTTGGAATATGACAGGTGTGGGGAAAGCAAAAGATTTTAATGAAACTCTTCAGATTCTCATGGGCAGATACAACACCTTTCCCTTTTTCAGAGTCCATGTGGGACCTAGTCCTTTTGACCTCAAGACGAATATTATTCAGGTGAGTGGATCAAAGAAAGAAAATTGTCAGGAAGCACTGGGAATAAAGAGTCTGTTACACAGCCCATGAGACCCAGGCTTGCACAGGTTAAGCCTATGTTCTTCTCTGAAGAAAGTTTTCCTAAATTTCAGTAAACTTCTTGATTTTATTACATAAAACCCACTTATTTCTGGGAAATGAGCAAATGAGGAAGAATAAATTGCTTATCTTCTGCCTGACCATGTAGATTGTACTTTGTTGTGGAAGGGTCTGGTTCTTCTTATGTTCATGGGTATGACTAGTACAATAACAGACTCTAAGTGCTAAGTGTCTAATACATACAGTGTACTATGAATTTTGTAGCTCACTGTTGTGGTTTAAAGCTGGTAGGTAGCTAACCACCACACAGCCACTGATTCACTCCCCCACCCAGTTGGATGGGGGAGAAAATCAGTAGGGTAAACGTGTGAAAACTCATGGGTCGAGAAAAAGACAGTTTAATAATTAAAAAAAAAAAAAAAGAAAGAAAAAATAGAAGTGACGCACAAAAAAGACCCCAGTTGCTCACCACCAACCAACAACTGCCCAGACAGTTCCCAAGCAATGGCAGCTTTGCCTAACCTCCTTCACCCCCACTTTTATTGTTGAGTATGATGTCATATGGTATGGAATAACCCTTTGGTCAGTTGGGGTCAGCTGTCCCAGCTGTGTCCCCTCCCAACTTCTTGTGCACCCCCAGCCTATTTGCTGGTGGGGTGGTTTGAGGAGCAGAAAAGCCCTTGACACGGTGTAAGCACTGCTCAGCAATAACTAAAATATCCCTTTGTTATCAACACCGTTTTCATGACAAATCCAAAACATAGCCCCATACAAGCTACTATGAAGAAATTTAACTCTATCCCAGCCAAAACCAGTGCACCAAGTAGAAATATTTAACAATGTGATTTACATTTGAATATCAGTCACTACAGATTTGTAATGAGCTTGTAAATCAGCTGTGGAATATGATAGATCCATAAAAATTACATAGCAAACATTTTCCAAAAGTAAACCCAATTTATTAACATTTCAAATTCTGTGACACAGAAATTAACAAATCCTGCTG